ATTTCGGACTAATCCAAAATTTGTCGGAAACAATGCGGTTTATGGTCAGGTTTTTGTCACCCGAAATTAATACGGAGAAAATCCGAACTCTATACAGTTTGTAAGCAACTAGTGAATCCGGAGTTGGTCCGATAAAGTCCGAAATTAATCAGTTAATTTTAACTATTTAATCCAGAATTTATCCGAAATACCCAGTGAGAAATTTCTTACTGGTCCAATATCGGTCCAATACTGGGAGCCAAGAGACCAATCATCGGTCCAATAAAGGCTCTTAATATTGGACCAATATGGGCTGATGCTTGGGATGTAACGGGTTCGCCAAGCATCGGTTGTTAATATTGGTCCAATATTGGCCGAATATTAGCGACCAAGAGAAAAAAAATTTTTTAAATAAATTTTTTTAATTAAATAATAATAATGAAAAATTAATGTTTATAATTTTTATTTAATATATTTATTTGTTTAACTATTTATTTTTAATAATTCATGTAAATAATGAATAATTTATTATTTATAAATTATAATTATTTAAAAATGCAGCAACTATTAGGAAATAGCATTCTACAAAAAAATTCTATCATTGAAAAATCAATGATAGGCGAGAGATATCCGCGTCATTAAGTAGATTCGCAGATATACTCTGGTCTCGCGACGAATCTCTCGATACTTATATACACTCGAGTCGCCGTGTCAGTTGCGAGAACGGTTACAGCGTCCCTCTTGCGGCAGAGATAAGAATTGTCACGTAAACTGCGGGTATAATAAGGCCGTCGTTAAAGCGATTTAGCAGTTTACGTGACAATTCTTATCTCTGCCGCAAGAGGGACGCTGTAACCGTTCTCGCAACTGACACGGCGACTCCAGTGTATATAAGTATCGAGAGATTCGTCGCGAGACCGAAGTATATCTGCGAATCTGTTTAATGACGCGGATATCTCTTGCTTATCATCTGCGAATCTATTTAATGACGCAGATATCTCTCGCCTATCATTGATTTTTCAATGATAGAATTTTTTTGCAGAATGCTATTTCCTAATAGCTGCTGCATTTTTAAATAATTATAATTTATAAATAATAAATTATTTATTTCATTTATTTACATGAATTATTAAAAATAAATAATTAAATAAATAAATATATTAAACAAAACTTATGAACATTAATTTTTCATTATTATTATTTAATTAAAAAAATTTATTTAAAAAAATTTTTTCTCTTGGTTGCCAATATTCGGCCAATATTGGACCAAATTGGGAGTCAATCGGCGCCCAGCACGGCAACCAATATTGGACCGATATTGGACCGATTAAAGTCTATTGGCAATTTCTCACTGGGTAGTGCGGTTTATTGTCAGGTTATACGGTTTGTATACAACTAGTGAATCCGGAATTAGTCCGAAACAGTCAAAAATTAGTCCGGACAGTTTAGTGAAAGTTAATAAAAAAATAATTATACAAGTTAAACATATTAATTATTATTACTTTACCTATCGCAATTTTATTTACATTAACTTAAAATTACCGTTTTTTATAACTATTGAATCCGTAATTAGTCCGATTTAGTCCGAAGTTAGTCAGATTATATGCAACTAGTAAATGCAGAAGTAATCCGATTGGTTTAACCAGTGAATCCGCAGCTAATCCGAAACAGTCTCCCGTGTAGAAATTTACCGTGAAACTTATACACATGAGAAACTGTCCAGTTGCGCTAGATTCAATCTAGCAACTAGATGGGAAAAATGGACAAGATTGAACGAGGGATGTGACGCTAGCAACGTCAAGATTTTGTACAGTTATTTTGTCTAGTCCTTGTCTAGTAAAATAAATAATTCCTAGCCAGTTCCTGGATATTAAAATAAGCAGTTTCTACATACTGGGAATAATTGTTAGGTTTATAAATAATAAAAGAATATTTTTCAACTTTACTCTTTTGTTTGTTTAACTTTTAAACAAACAAAAGAGTAATACAAAAGTATTTGTTATTATCACAATTCCAGTTACAATTATTTTTGAAATTAATTGTAACATATTTTGCTACATTGGATTTTTTCTTTAAAATGCAAACACATTCACTATAAAGGTTCGTACTTGTATACCGATAATAAAATTAATTGTATATTATATTGTTGCAATCACAAAAAATTCACTTAAATTACCAAAGTTTTATTACTTATTATGAACATTATAATATGAAAAACAATCTGAGACTATGAATGATGACATCACATGTCCTTTTTCTAATAAATCTTCTTTTCTCTGTAATATATTTAAACTTATACACTGTCCCTGTTCAAAAATGGAAAACTGAAAACTTTTTACTAGATTTATAAATTTGATTTTATCTTTACAATAAGATAAGTTACAATTGTAGACTCTTGGTTTCTTTTCATCAAGCACTACGTCAAGAACTGATTTCGTCTGCTAGCTTAGTAGACTCTCAGAGCCACCTTCTCCACGAACTTGTACTAAATTCTTAAGTCAGCGTCCTAGACAGTGCCTAGCTAATTCTTGGACAACCTGCTATACGAACTTGTACTGAATTTTCAATTCAGTATCCTAGACAAATTTTAGCCAGATTCTAGACTGTCTTCATAGCGAAGAAAATAAAGGGGAAAACTGTACATTAACATTTCGGGGCCAGGACAGTTTTTTCAGAATAATTTTCCACGACAAATGCTATCTAGCTGTAGTCTATTTCTAGGAAGGCCACGACAAATTTCTACACGGGCTGCTTATGGTCCGGTTTTCGTCACTCAGAATTAGTTCGGATATATCCAAACTCAATAGGTTTGTGTATAACCAGTGAATCCGGAATTAGTACGATCTAGTCTGAAGTTAGTCTGTTAATACGCAACTTGCAAATGTGAAATTATTACGATTAAATCCGAAATTAATCTGGTTTTGGCCAGGTTTTTGTCATACGAAATTATCCCATTAACGCCTGAAACCTTTGAAATTTTGTGTTTAATTTAAGATATAATTTTATATATTAAACATGCTCCCTAAAAATAACTGAAGCGTTTCTTTATGTTTTCGGGGTCGCTCTACAAGATTCCATGCTCAGATTTTAAATTTATCGCATAGAAAATTAAATATGGCGAATTTTGTGCACCAAATTGCGAAAAAAATAAAATTTTTTTTTTTAAAATAATTATTTCTTACTGAAAACATTTTTTTCAAATGAATACAAGTGTCACAAATTGGCACAAACTTATTAAACTTTCAAAATATGCAATAGCGGAAACAAAAAAAAACAAAATGGCGGCTTCAAAATGGCGCTAATTTGAGAAAAAATTAATTAATTTTTTTTATAGTGCACCGATTTAGGCAATAGCTATGAAATGTAATAGAACTTAGTGTTTATATGTTTTTGAGGTCTCTCATCACGAATATGTACTCGGATTTTCAAAATTCAAAATGGCGGATCCAATATGGCCGACGAAAATTTTAAAAATTTACTCGATTCGCTTGAATTTTGTTACTCAGGGGTTTTTGAGGTCGCTGATTGTGAATCTGCAATCGGATTTTCAAAATTCAAAATGGCGGATCCAATATGGCCGACGAACATTGTAAAAATTCACTCTATTCGATTGAACTTTGTTACTCAGGGGTTTTTGGGGTCGCTGATTATGAATCTGCTATTGGATTTTCATAATACAAAATGGCGGATCCAATATGGCCGACAAAAATTATTTAAATTTACTAGATTCGCTTGAAACTTGTTACTCAGGGGTTTTTGGGGTCGCTGATTATAAATCTGCTATTGGATTTTCAAAATACAAAATGGCGGATCCAATATAGCCGATAAAAATTGTTTAAATCAATTCTAGTCGCTTGGAATTTGTAAAATGATGACCATCTATTTGCCGTCAGAATAAGGCAAAATACAAATCAAATCCCTCAGAAGTACACAACGAAAAAATTGTAGGTCTAAATTTAATTGGCTTAGATAAATTGTTTCAACACTATCTTAGCATAAGACTTAATATTGCAAAACTTATAACCTGACATTGTTAATGAAACAATTTGAGATGAGAGATAAGGAGTAGTTGACCAATATTATCGAATTTTAGCTTTAATATCATTAGAATAATTTAGAGAGTTGGTAAACGTCTTATTCTGACGGCAAATAGATGGTCATCATTTTACAAATTCCAAGCGACTAGAATTGATTTAAACAATTTTTATCGGCCATATTGGATCCGCCATTTTGAATTTTGAAAATCCGATTGCAGATTCACAATCAGCGACCTCAAAAACCCCTGAGTAACAAAATTCAAGCGAATCGAGTAAATTTTTAAAATTTTCGTCGGCCATATTGGATCCGCCATTTTGAATTTTAAAAATCCGAGTACATATTCGTGATGAGAGACCTCAAAAACATATAAACACTAAGTTCTATTACATTTCATAGCTATTGCCTGAATCGGTGCACTATAAAAAAAATTAATTAATTTTTTCTCAAATTAGCGCCATTTTGAAGCCGCCATTTTGTTTTTTTTGTTTCCGCTATTGCATATTTTGAAAGTTTAATAAGTTTGTGCCAATTTGTGACACTTGTATTCATTTGAAAAAAATGTTTTCAGTAAGAAATAATTATTTTAAAAAAAAAAATTTTATTTTTTTCGCAATTTGGTGCACAAAATTCGCCATATTTAATTTTCTATGCGATAAATTTAAAATCTGAGCATGGAATCTTGTAGAGCGACCCCGAAAACATAAAGAAACGCTTCAGTTATTTTTAGGGAGCATGTTTAATATATAAAATTATATCTTAAATTAAACACAAAATTTCAAAGGTTTCAGGCGTTAATGGGTTATAATTATAGTTTGAATTTATCTGCATTTAATACAAATTGTTTTTAATATTTGAATAATATTGAATTTTTTATGGAAAATTATAAAAATAATCTGCTTTGAATTACGTATTAATCATATAGAAAAATGTTTGATGAAAAATGACTGGATAATCAAGCAAAGGCATAAAATAAAACAAATTAATATCAACTATTTGTATTTAATAAAAAACAAACCATTGCTACACAAAATCTATAATAATTGTTTTTTAAAAATCCACGTACAAGTATAGTGTAACTTATTCTTGAAAATACGTCTTTTTTTTGCAAAATGCTAAATTTGCATTAACTATCGATTATAAATATACATGTCACATTATTTCTTATATGACTAGAAAAAGAACCTTTTCTTTTCTTATAAAGTTCTTTAATCATGTTTTTACATTCCGACTAGAACATCACCATTTAGATACAGTTACTCAATAATTCAGGAAAAATTATCAGAAGATGATTCTTGATGATTGTTTTCAACAAAAACAGCTGCATTCTCAGAGGAGCTGGAAGGCTTCTGAAAGTAAAGGAATATAATTTTTAGAAGAAATATTATCTCCAATTTAACGTCTGATATTGTTAAAAATAATGTATGCCTTACATTTTGAGATTCCAAATTTATTTCTGTTTGCAATTTGAAAGTTGGTAATACATCTGGTAGTGGTGGAGGTCCTGGTGGTGAACCATAAGTTTCATGAAGTTCTTCAAGTCTGTTGCTGAGAGCTGATCCTCTTTGACTGGTTGCATTCATTTTCCTTACTAGCCAATCAGCTTGTTCTTCAAGGCGTTTTAGACGAGCTGCACGTGCTGCTAAAATCTCATCTGGGCTTCTGTTTTTCGTATTACAAACGTTGTTGCTATTAGTTGAGGAAGGTAACTGTTGTTGAGGGGTACTCTTCTCACCGGTTTGTAATTTCTGATCTGTTACACTTGATTGATTTGATGATTCACATTTGAGAAAAGTGGAAATTGTTTCCATAGTTAATTTCTCTTGAATTTCCGAATGCAAGTCGTTTTCTGTAGAACTAATTTTATCGTCAGTCGTTGACGATAAGTTTTTACCAAAAAGAGGCAGTAGAGGATTTTCATTGTCTGTATTAGAAGCATTATGCTCAGAATTGCTTGATGGAAATGGTCCAATTGAAAATACAGACTCAAATTGAATTACTGAAGAGGGTACTTGGTTTTCTACTGAACAAGTTAAATCTAAACTATTCCTCTGATCACTCTCGTCAGGTGGAAAATAGTTAGTTAAAGATTTATCATCTTCGAATTCGTATGAACACTGTGTAGTCCAGTCTTTGGCCATTCTTTTGAGGCTCTTCTTTTTGGAAAGTTTTGATGGTTCAGAGGATACTGTGGACGGACCAGGTTCTTGTGAATCTGTTCGCCTTTGATCACCTTGAATTGGATAAGCTGTGTCGTCAATTTTTATTAGATTTCGAATAACGTTGGTTAAAGCTCTATCTAAGGGATCCAAGATTTCCACTTCTGTTTCCAAGACCTCCTAAAACAAATAATTAAATAAAAGTAAGAAAACATTTTTAATTCCGGAATATGCATTTTTATTAATAAAAAAATTCATTAATATAAACTTACAGTAACCATGGTGTCAGACTCTTCATTCAAAATACTTGGTACTTTCTCAGTTTTCACTTCGTCGGGTATAGGAAATTGTTGCTCAGATGTACTCGAGGAAATAGTTTTGGCCTCTGAAATTTCAGTATCGGTTGGCTGTTCTGATTCTGTATCTGATGTGGCCCTTGAGTCATCCTAGAATTGAAAATTAAATTTTAGTCATAAAACATTCTATGGACCGCTTATGGTCGTTTTTTAATTCTTAAGAACTTTCAGAACTATCCTGTAAATTTTAGGACGTTCTTAATTTCTTTTTTTTCATTCTTTATTTCTTTAGGATTAATTAATTCTAAAATTAACACCAAATAAATAATTTTGTAATTAATCTCAAACAAAGATTACTTTGTTTTTATGTTTTCTCACATTTTGAACAATTTATCTTCAATACATTGTTAAAGGAGAATTTTTGTTTCTTCGTTAACAGACAAGAAATATCTTTGTTAATTTTTAAGAACATTTGGTCAACATGTGTAAAATGCAAAAAGCTGAAAACTTCGGAAATGAGCTAGAAATGAATGCAGGTAGTCTCAATTTTTTCTGTACCACTAAGGCCTGAATCTTAACTTTTCTCCATCTTCTATTCGACAGTTACCTAGCCACTCTTGAGAGAGCAAGTCGTTATTTGTAAGCTCTACTCAATTTATTAACTTACACTTTTTAATTCACTTTATCCGTTATTCATTCTTTAAACATAAAATTAAATAAATTAAAGTTTAAGTGAACTGTGTCTATTAATTCCTTTCCTTAAAATATCAGATTGAGTTGTTTATGAAATTGATCGTTAACACTAGTTCTCGGGATAATTTGACGTACATAATAAATGTATATTCAGACTTACAACCTGAAGAAGGGCTAAACTTTATCTCTATATATATATATATATATATATTACAAAAAATAAGTAGCTATCGCGTTAAAATCAGAGACATTTTTCAATATTTTTAAGATAGGCAAGTATTGGGAAGTGACATGTTATACTGTAAATGTTGACTAATAAAAAATTTATACCTTACGGTTCCTTCTTCTGGCTCCAATGATTCTGATTCTTTTTTCCTTGCTTCCTTCATTCTCTATGTCTTCATCTGACTCATCATCACGACCATCACTGAATCCACTTTCAGCACTGGAATAAGTATTCATAGAAAGTTTAGCATTACATTGAGCTTGGTAATTAATTTACATTACAACTAAAAGTATTTGCTACATTTTCTACATTTACCTATTATTCAATGAATCTACATGTGCTATAGCTTTACGAGCAGCAAACTCTCTCCTCAAGCTTCTCCATTCGATTTCAGTATTTGTATTCTTCTGTCTAGCTGACTCCCATTTTTCTCTACAATACTCTAATTCCTGTTTTAATTCTTGAAGCATTTTCCTTTTTTGCTGCAATTCGTATCTCAAAATTTTTTCATGTGTATGAAGTTGCTGATGTTGGGCTTGCATCCGGCCAACTATATTCCAAGTTTTCGTCAATTCGTCAGATACGTTTGAAAGTCTTTTTTCCTGTTGATAAAAATTTGTTTCTGATTTCTAGTATTGGGCGCTTTTAATATTAAGAGCTTCAGATTTAATTCATTACGGATTTCTTACCTGTTCAACTAACTTTCCTTCCAAATGGGTATTCAATTGCTTCATTCGATTCATCTCCTTCTCCACATGTTTCTTTTCGAGAATCAATTCTTTTAGACGAATGTATGTCTTACTTACAGAAATAACTAATTGAGGTCCAGTTGGTGTATCAACTGATTTGTAACAAGTGTCTGAAGCTGATGACAAAGCGACTGACGTTGCAGATGTTTCTGCTGCATGACAACGCAGCAACTCCAATAAAACTCGCCACACCTGTAATTACAGGAATGTCAAAAAATGATCTCCATTTGAAGATTACAGTTCTACTAATCACAGTTTCCACAGAAATTTTATTTTACCTTTGGTAAATTGTGAGCAATATTTTCTTCTTGGAGATCATCCTCGTCCTTTTTTTCATCAGCTTCAAAATCAACTGTAGTTCTTTTTCCCTTTGAACTGCCCTCAACTTGTTCAATTAGTTCCAATAACAATTTTGGTAATGCCGCAGCTTCTGTACCGCTATCTCGGGTCATGTCGCTTATAAGGTCATGATTCTCCTAAAAGGGAAAATAAAATAATGCTTGTATCTAATTAATCTGACTACTTTTAGACAATACCAAACTTAAATATTGGACCCCGCCAATGGTTGTCCACTGCCGAACATCATGAATGTCATCAATATGTTGGGCAGTGCTTGTCCACTGCTGAATTTGACTGACAGTCAGTGGCGGGGATTTTTTCTAAAGGGCATCTAAAACAGCAAGATCAGGATAAGTGATTGTAAAAACAATAAGTGGACGATAGCCAGTTGCCCAAGTATGCAGGAGGGCAACAACTCGTTGTTAGTATCAAGAATTATCTTGAAGAGGGTAAAAAGACGAGGCAGTGAAGTCAGCGTGGGCAGCAGGCCAGTTGAAAATCTGTTTTCAACAATGCATCTGAACTTGACATCGCAAGCTGGAACAAGGACAGCGGTCTGTGCATTAAGCTCCGGAATTAAGTAGCAGCATGCATTGATAGAATGGCAGAAAAGGTTAGCAAGATGCTAAATCCTGCGAAGTGCAAAGGAATGTCAACGTAACAATCAAGAAGGGACTTAAAAGTCTAAAGTCGTTTATACGGAAAGTAAGATTCAAGCATGTAGAAACGAAGGTGCGAAAAACGAGCGCCTCTACTAATGATTGGTCTGGATAGAAAAGGCACGTCAGGATAGGAGACTCAGCAAAGACAGATCCAACGCAATTGCGTTTAGAAAAGTTGTTCAAAAAAAAGAAACAGGAGGAGAAACCTCCTAAACAGAATGTGGGCAAAGTAGTAGACAGAACGTCAAAATCAAATCAAGATAGGAAAAAAATGTCACAACGAGAATCTGAAATTATTTTAAGGTGACCAAAGGCATCAGTTATGATAGATGGATTTCAATCCAAATATCAACAAAATCTGCTCAATTAAACTTACAATTACAACTATAAAAAAGCATAAAAGTAAAGAAGAATAATTAACCTTTGGTTTACTTAAATTATTCACTATTTTGTTACGTTACAATATAAAACAAATAAAATATCGAAGACCTACTTGTAATAGTTGAGTCAACCGATCCAAATCCATATCAGCCGAAGATGCACCGAGTAGCATTTGCGTAAATAAATTATTGATAACTGACATTTGATTTTGCAAGTCTCTACAATCTGCTTTGGCAAGACCCAATTGTGATTCTAGATTTAAAGTTTGCTCTTCTTGAATATCCAGCTAAGAAATGAAAAATTCATATAACACAATAGTGGAGAATTTCCTACGAGTATTCATATAAATAAAAAATTTACCTTGTCCTCAGCTTTTTTCAAACTATCTTCGAGTATTTCGTTATTGTCTTTTAAACTCCTGACTTCTCTTTTAACGTCATTAAAGTTTCTAATAGCAGAATCTTTCCATTCTATTAAAACTCTTGATCGCTCCTCATAAAGACGTCGCAAATTATGAAGATCACCTAATTGACGATTATTTTCCATTCTTATTTCTTCTTCACAGTTGAGAAATGGCCGATCACCAAGTTTTACCAAAATTTGCGATAAGCGATCTTTCAATAAACTCACTTGTCGTTCTCTTGATCTTAATGTTTCACGCATATCATCCGCTAATTTCTTTAAAGATAAAATTCGATTCTTATGAATCTCAGGTACGTTGTCGAGCTGATAGAAAAGATCATCAGCTTTTTCTAATTGAAAACGAATATTGTTCATCACCTCCTCGGAAATCTGTGAATATTTCACAATATATGATTAGATAGCTACTTATTTAATAAAACTACATGAAAAACTAGTATAAATCAATTACCAACCTTTAAAAGATCAGTCAATCGCACAGCCTCTGTATTACCAGTATTTTCTTCTAGTACAATTTCGTTTGATTTTGTGTCATAGTCTTTTTCGGATAAATTTGAACATCGATTACAAATTTGTGTTTTATTTTCTTCTTCCACTTCAGGTGAAGTGCAAGATAGATTTTGTCCAGCTTTCAATAGTTCCAAAATTTTAGACGTTTCTGAATGTGCTACCTTTTCAGCATCCAATTCTTTTCGTAAACGATCCATTTCGGCGGAAACTGCCGCAATTGCACGTTGTCGTGCTTCACGTTTTAAAATTAACTCCTTTTTGAATTCTTCACCAACCAGTGTTGCATTGATAGTTACATAATCGTTTCTTGATGGGCCTTAAAGAGATGAACAGTTAACTTTTTATTACAAAAATATTTAGAGTTACGATGATATCTGCTATGCAGTTTTATTGGGGATTTCTTTTTGGTGATCACTGAGCTCCTAATTAACATTCGAGGTGGTGGAAAGACGATTTTTTCCACAAAAATTATCAAAGCTGTTAGTAATTCTCGATTTGCGTTGTGAATGGAAGATGCGAGACAGAACGTGCCAATTTTTTCAAATCGCTTTTGATTTAAAAATAGTTAGTAAACACAATCAAATTTTATTCGCGTAGAAAGATGAAAGCTGGTAAATTCTAATTCTCAAGTGTATTTGGAATTAAAAATTATTTGTAATTTATACAATCGAATTATATTCAGTAAGGAAGATGCAAGATGGCAAATTCTGATACTCAGCTGCATTTGGAAAAAAAGTATTTGTAATTTACACAATCGAATTATTTTTAGTTAGGAAGATATACAAGATGGTAAATTCTGATACTCAAGTGCATTTGGAAAAAAAATTATTTGTAATTTACACAATCGAATATTATTCAGGTGAAAATTTGTAAGATGGAAAAATTTTGATCCAGAACCAAAAAGACTTAAAAAAGTGTACCTGGACTTGAGGAATTTGGTGTTTCCTTATCAACTTGTATAATCTGTTTCAGCTTCTTAATCTCATTCTTGGCATCCTCAAGTGCAGTGAAATATTTATTTTTATCAGAAGCTTCTTCTTGTAATTTTGATCGCAATACATCAGTTGTATCGCATTCTTCTTTACAAATTCTGTCCTTTTCCTGCAGTTCTTTCTCAAAATTCGAGATCCTTGATTCAGTAGCAGCCTTTTCGTATTGGAATGTCTCAAGTTCTTTTAGCAGCCTTTCAATTTCTCTTTTCGAAAAGTCAAGTTTGCCTGAAAGCTTATCAATTTCGTTGGTTCGTTCGGCGAGACTCTCTTCAGTGCGTTTGCATTCGTTTCTCGTTACCTGAAAGGAAAAATTTGTTCTTGTGAGTACAATACAAGAATCTAAACATAGCAGAAGAAATACTTTAGAATACAATACCTCATTATCGTCTTTTAATTCTTCTATCATCCTTTGCTGACTTTCCAAATCCAGTTTCAGTCTTGCGTTCACAATTTGAGACCTTGCCGTATCAATCTGCACAGAATCGGCAAAATTCTCATTTCCAAAATTTACGATAACATCGGATTTATTAATTCTCTCGGGTTTCTTAGCAGGGCGTTTTTTTGTTCCCAATTTAGTGACATCATCATTAACTTCAGCGTCATTGACACTTGCTGTTATACTCTCACACGAACTGTTTTTAGCAACATAATCATTTTTCTTAAATTTCCATGCCATTTTTGAAGAAATTGTTTTCTTCCCCGGATTACGAGTGTGTCGCAATGTTTTCTTGAATTCTCGATTTTTGCAATAATCAACGTGATACAATTCCTGACTGGGTCTCTCTCCTCTCTCTTCAAATTCGTAAACACTTTCGGGAAATTCAGCATCATTAGATTCAAACGAATGCTGTCCCACTGCATTATCAAGATGATCACGTAAATCACTGTCTAAATTTCGTTGTAATTTTTGTTGATTTGTCAGTCTTTCGTTTGTTGCTGTTTCAGGACTAAATAGTTTGTAATTTACTCTCTTGTGATTGAAATTTGTATTTCTTTTTTGTTCTCTTTCTCTCTTCAACTCATCATAAATTGCCTCCAGATGCATCAATGTTACATTTTGTGCTGAAGCTAATTGTTGAGTTGCTGCCGCTAGATGTGAAACTGTTCGTGTCAATTCCATTCGTTCGTGTTGCGTGTCTACTGCCATTCTTCCGTTTGATGGCCAGCCGACAATTTCTGGAGCGTAGGTTAACTAAAAATTGAAGGAAAAAAAAATTAATTACCCACTTTGAAAAAGAATTCTTTTCAACAGAAAAAATATAATTACAAAAATTTACTAATAATTAAATTTCACAATTTTTAAACAGTTTGAGAGACAAAACACACTTATTGGCAGACTACTGAATACTGAGGAAAATTTTCAACGTTCGTCCAAAAAAAGTTCGGGTGAGAGTGTCACGTGAATGTGATTCAGACACGTCATGGACCTCTTTTTTTGTTTAAAATCGTCGAAGTTAGAGTAGATTAATCGTATTTATTCCAAGTGTAAAAATGATATTTTGAATCGTTGCCAATTTTTCTTGGGACAAATCTTTGGAAAACTATCTTTTTCTAAAAATTCGTTTTAATTTTTTTCTTTTTCTTCTCTTCTTTTTTTTAATTAAAAAAAGGACAAAATTTATTCATCTACTTACTTACCATGGAGTCTTGTCGCGAATGAGTATTCGAAGGACTTGGTGATATGGATTCGTGTTGCCAGCATTCCTTTCGTCGCAAAGTTGTGTACGGACTTGGTCCCTAATGGAAAAATTAATATTTTCTTTTCAAAATCTACATTTGGCACAATATTGAATTTCTTTGTCTGGGCCAAATAATCATCAACTCGACACATTTGTGCACGTGGCGTCCACGTGTTTTTCTTTCCGAAAAAAAAGTTTCAAACTTTTCGATTAGTGATGTTCTATTTTTAAATGATTATATCATTTTTTTAATGGTGTTTTAAAATTATTTTTGAAAATCATTTGTCAAAAAGGCAATTCTTTTTTATGTAACTAAACGAAGTGTTGGAATTTAGTAAACTATTAAAAATTTCAGTTTTTAAGGGGAAAAGACAAAAAATGCAATTTATATAGTTTCTTACTATTTTGAAAGTCTTGTGCACTGCCGTCAATAATTATTTTAATATTTCTTGTAAAAAAAAAATTACGAATACTGGAAATAAATTCACAAATATTCCAAAAAGACCGAGAATTTATGTTACTTTTTTCCTTTTTAGAAAAATCATAAAAAATTCTTCGGATGATTAAACAAATCCTTAAAGTTATTTTTTGTTTGATAATTTTTCTTGTACCTGAGACAAAGGCCCATCGAACGTAGTGGTACAAGTTTTATTCGTAGCATCTTCCGTAGCGTCTTCGATATCGCGATTATTAGTGGAAGTTTCTGAAGATGGTGATCTCACGTTGCTAAGAAATGGTGGTGCTGGTAGAGGTGGTGGTTCAACGCTCCAAGTTCGATGCTGGTTTACCGGTAAGCTGCTGTTTCCAGCGCCCATTTTAATCTTCAAAAAAAAATATTGCTCAATTTGTTTTTCACTATTTCAAGAAAAATTTTTCTTGGAAATGTCCTTAAATGAATAAATTACTTTTCCTCTAAAAATAAATTGTAAAATTAAAAAAGCTACACTTTATTTATTCATTTCGATATAAATAGTTAAAAACCCTTGAGATTCCATCGAAATTTCGATTTGGATTCGAAATTCAAAATTAAATCGAAACCGAATAATAGTAAACAAATAGCAAAAAATAAATAGTAATCAAATAGAAAGAAACAAATAGTAAACAAATACTAAAAAATAAATAGTATACAAATAATAAAGAAAAAATAGTAATTTTGAGCATTAAGTGAAAAAATGGAGCCGGGAAATTTTAATAAAATTCAAATTAGCAATTGATGTTACCGAACAAAGAATCGTGACCGCGAGAGAAACGTGGGACGCACTTAAGACCTAGAACAGAACGTACATGAATGTCTGGAAATAGACTAATGCTCAACTCGAAATACACGGTTTGGTGTATTTATGCCAATGCGCCAGAAATAAAAAAGCAACATCACAGAAGTACAGGGGTTGCTTGAAGTGAAATATGCTTAAATATGAATGACTTTTGACTGAGAAAAGTTCTTCTTTCTCTTCTTTATTTTTCTATATTTACTGAACTTAACTTCAAAGAAACTTGAAATTAAAAAAAATGTTTTTAATAACAAATTTAATGCCAAAAACATTAGATGATAATTTAAAGGAAAATTCTCTTTAGAAAATTCTATTACAATTAAAATTGTGCAATAGAAATTATTTAAACAGAATAATTAAATAATACATTATTTATTATTTATTGTAAATAAATAGTTCACTATTTATAACAAATAATTATCTATTTCTCTATATTAATTTTAAATAATTGACTATTTATTTTAAATAAATAAATAAAAATTATACAAAAACAATGAAAAAACCAAACGAAATACAATTAATTTTTTTACAATATTTTTATACTAGTCATAATTATTATATTTTCTAAAGAATTAAATACTGTTGAAAAATAATGAAAATCGAAAACAATATTAAAGCAAAACAAGAAAAAATTCTTCTTCTCAAGTGAGTACCTGCATGCAACAACTCGCCGAGCGCTCGGACGCAAGCGCTAGTAACAGTCGGGGAGCAGTGAGCGCCTCTGCGCCACTCACTGCCACCCGACTGGTATTAGAGAGTGCGTCCGAGAGCTCGGCGAGTTGTTGCATGCAGTTACTCAGTGTAAAAAACGATTGTAGTTATTATTTTTTTTTTGGAAATTATTTTACTATTTACGTCGATAAACGATTATTAAAAATCTCTTATTACTTCTTTTCGAAAAGTAAAAAGTGGAATTTGATATAAAAACCCTAAATAATAAAATAATAAATGTTAAAAATTTTAACTAGGACAACTTGAAATTTCAGTTTTCATCTTCTTGACGTAACCTTTGTTTCCCGGTATTCAAAACGTGTCAAGGTACCGCGTAAATTTTGCAAAAATGTCCCAATAATTTACTGCGAATTTATATATTATTTTTGAAATAAAATGAAAAATTTTTTTTTTTAAATTCCATTGTGATAAGTAATTAACAAATACTTTCAAAAAAAATTATTTATTACAAAATGAACTATTCATTTTTGCACAATGGAAACTTGATAACAAAGAAAACTGTCAAAACTTCAAAAGTCGAGTCAAATTCTTTTTTGAACTTTTCGGAGAAAAAAATTTGTGTATGAAAAAATTATTTTCAGTGAGTGTGGCGAAGGAGCGGGGGTGGAAAAATAAAATTAATGTGTGTCAATTAATGAGAACAATCACTCACTTTAATTATTCAACAGCTTAAACGATCATCGAATAGGAGCTTCACTCGCGCGTCCACAACGCTTAAGCGCGGAGGCATAAACTAACTTCCACTGGCTTTTAGCCAAGTTTCCCCGTTTTTCCATTTCGTGCCGTTCCGTTTCTCATCTCAATACCATCGCGCTACGTTATATGTTCTAAGCCAATGCTAAATATAAAACTTTAGTTCGGAAGTCATCCCACTCTCTATATCCTTCTTTTCTCGATGAATCTACGTTGCATATACATATCTAGAAGATCTGGAAAATCAATGGAAATTTAATAATTTTGCAATTTTTCGTTATTTAGATTTATTTTTCTTGGAAAATTTTCAAGGTGTTTGATGAAAAGTTTATTTATTAAAAAAAATTTAAAAGTAAATACATTTCTTGATACAATATTTATTTTACAATTTGTAGTGGACTCTTTTAAATTTTTACTCAAATTGAATTAAATATTTCATTAATTGTAAATATTTTCAGCGTAATTTAATCAATTATTAAAAAATTGACCACCATATGGTATCCGCCATTTAAAATTTTTTAAATCTTATAATTTTTGAAAAATATTTCATTCTATTAGATTCGCCATAGTGAATTTTGAAAATCTGACAATAAATTTGTATAAGTAGCGAAACATAAAACTTTCGAATGATGATGTTTAAGCATTCTCGAATAATTTTGAAATGATTAGCGCCATTTTTGATTTGACATTTTGAATTTTGAAAAACTATCAACGGATTCGTAATTCCTGACTCCGAAAATCTTAGAATGATTATTTTCAAGCAGATCCAATCTATTTTTAAAATAATTGCTGCCATATTGCATCCGCAATTTTGAATTTCGAAAACCTGATAATGAACTTGTAATCAGCGACCAGGAAAACTCAAAAGTTGTGATTTTTAAGAGAAAAAATTGGTCAAAAATAGATTGCTATTTTAACCAATTTTTCGCCATATTAGAGACACCATTTTGAATTTACAAAAAAAAATTAAAATTTAATTATATATTATAAATTTAATAAATTTATAAAAAATTAACAAAAAATCTGTTTGTATTCGTGATCAATGACCCTAAATACACTTTAGTTTCAGAGCAAACCTTATACATATATGCGCATCACTATTTTCTTATTAACATATTATTATTATTATTTGTTATTATTATTATTATATTATTATTATTATTTTCGGACTAAAAATAATTTTTTTTAACATCTGTGATCTTTCCTATTAAAGCCTAGTTGGAGCCATGGCAGAATACATTCTCATAAAAATTTAGGCAATTGAAAAGTCAAGTCTGACTGTGAACACGTGCAATATGTCTTTCAAGCACGCTACGTACATAAACTATTTTTAGTCAGTATTTTAAACAATTCGAGGAAAGCATTGGAGCTTGCATTGATTTTGTCGCACAGTATTTTCTTTAACATAATTTCGCACCTTTATTGCAAAAATTTATCTAAATTAGATATACAAATTTATTAAAATAATTCCCAACAAATTATATATCTAAAAAATATATTTATTAAATAGTATTGAGGTTTAGGTGGACCGAGTAAAAAACATTGTACTACACAAGATTAATATTTATTATAAAGGGCAAGATAATTAAGAAAAGAGTTATACAAAAAACTACGATAGCATCGCGTCGTGTTCACTTGAACATTGATAAAACATTAGAAAGAACACTCGACAATATAGGTGGCGCACCAATCTGCATTACAAAGGAAATTGTCCTGAATCGTAAAATAACCGCGAATTGTAAAATAATAGTTATTCAACACTCCCCCTCGATTTAGGGACACTGTACACTAAGCAGTTAATTTCACAATTCCGAGATGATTGAGACATTTCGTGTGTTTGGGTTTTGGTAATCCTTTAGTGAGTACGTCGGCTGCCATTTCTTCTGTTGGAAGATACTCGATCACGATATCTCCTTTTTCTAGGGTTTCTCGAATATAATGATGACATACATCGATATGCTTCGTCCTATTATGGAATATTGGATTTTCTGCAATCTTTCGAGCGCTGTTGTTATCGCAATGAATTTTGATCTTTTTATTTACAGTGAATCCCAATTCACCGAAAAATCTCCTTAAGTACGTAGCCTCCTTTGCAGCTTCCGATAGAGCCATGTACTCGGCTTCCGTAGATGAGAGAGCCACAGTCTTTTGCTTCCTCGATTCCCAAGAAATAGCACACGAGCCGAGCAAGAAAGCAAATCCTGTGTAGGATTTCCTATCATTAGGACAATTCGCCCAGTGTGCATCCACGAGTCCTTCCAGATCTTTTCCTGATTTTTGGAACCATAATCCCGTCTCTTGTGTTCCCTGCAAATATCTGAGAACACGCTTTGCTGCTACCCAATGGCTGTGGTCGAAACAATTATTAAATTGGCTGAGATAGCTAGTTGCGTAAGCAATGTCTGGTCGTGTGCAGACAGATAAGTACATTAGAGCACCGACCAGCTCACGATATGGAAGTGTCTGTTCTTCTTGGCTTTGTTCTCTTCTAGCCTGCAACATCGTCCCAGGATCCAAAGGTGTAGAAACGGGTTTTGAGCCCGACGTTCCAAAACGCTGTAGGATATTTTCTATGTATCCACCTTGACTGATTTTTATACCTTCCCAGCTTACGTCGAATTCCATTCCGAGGCAATTTTTCACTGTCCTGAGGTTCCTGACTTCGAAAACCTTCGAAAGATGTCGTTCGAATTCTGTGATCCTGTTTTTCTTTTGAGAGGCGACTAAAAAATCATCGACATACATTGAAATGATGATTTAATCCTCCCCTTCTCCTTTCAAATAAACACATGGATCTGCAGAGGATTTCTTCGCTCCCAATTTTCTTAGTTCTTTGTCAATTTTAATGTTCCAGCAGCGTCCAGCTTGACGAAGACCGTAGATTGCTTTCTTTAACAATAGAACCTTTTCACCTTTCTTGAGTTCATTAAGCATTTGCTTAGCTTTTGTTCCTAGTTCACTGTTAACTTCTTCAACCACAATGTTCTCTAGGGCCTTGATAGTGTATTTTGGTACTTGCATGTACACTTTTTCTTCAAGTAGGCCGTTTAAATAGGCGATAGTTATGTCGAATTGTTGTATTGTCATCTTGTTTTCTACTGCCAATGCTGCTATCCTTCTGATCGAACTAAGACGTGCAACTGGTGCGAAAGTTTCGTCGAAATCGATGCCAGGTCTTTGAGCAAAACCCCTGGCTATGATACGAGCTTTTCTTCGCTCCAGTGTGCCGTCTTCCTTAAACTTGTTCCTCAACACTATTCTGCTGCCAATCACCTTTTAACCTTCGGGTTTGTCAACAACGATCCAAGTATCGTTTTTGATTATCGATTTCAGTTCGTCTGAGATGGCGAAACTCCATTCCTGTGCGTCCAGCCCATTTACGGCTTTTTCGATGGGAATTTCGGTGAGTGATGCCATTTCTTGTGCTTCTTCTGAAGAATTTATGAGCTTATATTGCTTCGTAGGTCTCCACCTCAGACCAGTCCTGATAATTGTCGGCCTACCTGGACCTCTTCGTTGTTGATTGTTTGATCGTTGACTTCACTTCTTTCTAAAATGTTCTCGTCGTTCTCACGGTTCGGTTCTTCTTGGTCGTCTCTTGAGTTGTCTTCTTCACTTTCCGGATTGCTCCAATTATCTTCTGCGTCATTCCAGTCACTATCAGTTTCGCTCTGATCGTGCTCGTTGTGATGATGAAGGTTGCTATTGATTCTAGGGGTGAGAATCAATTCCATCTGTGTGTTTCTGTCGACGATTTCCGGAACGTCGTTACCATTTTCTTTCGATATGATTTTTCTGGGAAGTCCAATGAATTTTACGTCTCTGGAAATGTCGATTCGTTGCTCGTCGGGAATCCAAATTCGATATGCTTTGGACTATTGCGAGTAACCGACGAATATTCCTTTCTTTGCACGAGATTCCAGTTTTGCCTTCGTAGGTGATCTGCTCAACGTATACACTTCTGATCCGAAAATTTGAAAATGACTGACATCAGGAACTCGACCTGTCCATTTTTCATAGGATGTCATTCCTTCAATGCTCCTGGATGGACATCGATTTCGGATGTAGTTGGCTGTGTTCATGGCCTCTGCCCAGAAAATAAGAGGAAGAGATGACTGTTTGAGGAGACACCCGGTAAGAAGGCTTGAATAAAAAGGTATTAAAAATTATTTCATCATCAATAAAAAGACGAAAATTTTAAATACTTCTGAATTCCTTTTTTGTCCGCTAAATTTAATACTTCTATTAAGTCAAATTCTACTATAAAATGAATCCTTTTCAATGCCCAAAGTTTACAATATTAGAATGAATACTTTTTAATCACTTAAAGTGGAATAAATTTGTGATCTATCTAATGCCTTTTAAATCCTTGTAAATCAAATGCTTGCTGGTGACAAAACAAAAATTGACCAATCAAAATCCAAGTTACTTGAGAAAAGAATGAAAAAAGAAAAGAAAATGGCTCTGTTCATTAACAGTTGTAATGTGCTTGACTTTGTAACTGGTGATAAATGGCGTCAACTGCGACTGTCCACGTGCATATAATCGGGTGCAAATTACCAAAGTGCAAATAAAATCCCACATAGCACCGAGAATTTCTCTAAACTAGACAGGATCTCGCCCAGTGAGGTTATAAATATTGCGTGGTAAAAGTCATGGAGAATGTGAGTAATAAGAATGTAATAATAAGGAAATATTGAATATCAAACTTGAGCAAAAATTTTACTGTGAATAATAACTTGACATGTTCAGGCAATATTGTATCAATGTTGCATGCAATATTCGCCCAATTATTAAATTTTCGTCTGCTAATATAAACTGAGCGATTTCCTGTCAAGTTTCAAGAAATTTTTGGTGCTGTGTGATTTTTATGTAAATCACGTATAATGTAAAACTTTTATTAAAACTTTATTTAATTTTAATTATTACTTTCCTTTATTTCACTTACTCGTAAAAAATTGACTTCCTGAGCATCACATTTTCCATAAATACCTATATTTAAAATTGAATACCTTTCTACACCTAACCTAAAATTATGTGCTTTTTAATTCCTTTCTTATACCTTGGTCCCCTTGATCAACGTTTAT